AATTCATGAGGATAAACAATAAGATAACAATTATAAATTCTCACATTATATTGATGTGATTGTTAATAATCTTGTAGAATAATCACAATCCATATTTTTTAGAAGATTTTAAAGAGAAAAAGAGCCAATCATTTTTATTATTATATGGTATGTATAAAAAAATCAAACATAGGAATCAAAATGATCCCTTATTATTTTCATAAGCAATAAGAAGTGATGATTTTAAAAAATGGCATAATGTAATAAAAAAAAGTCAAAATTAATGAACCAACAATCATTAAATTATATAATAATTATAAAAGAGTCTATTATAAATTAATCTTAAAACTGAACATGACTTAAAAAGTAATATTGAATGATATAAAGTCAGACTTATAGTCAAATATTTTATTCATAAAAAAGATATAAACTATAACAAGATATTTTTTTAGTTCTTAAATGAACTCGTTAACAATCATCATGATGTTAATAGCCTATTATGATCTTAAGTTACATCATATAAATATAAAAAATAAGTTTTTCGAATGAGGATCTAGGTGAAAAAATTTACATGAAACAACATAAAGGAATCGTAGAGAAAGGAAAAAAATTTTGGCCTACAAACTTAGAAAAATCATTTGTAACCTTAAATAAGGTTATAGTTAATAATTTTCATAATATCATTACTTCTTTTAGAGTTAAAAAAATATTATTGATTAATATTTATATTTGAATGTCAATGAGAGCAAATTTATCATATTGTCTGTGGATGATGTTTCTCATCAGAAATTTTAAAATGATTGATATAAATAAGATAACTTATGTTATTGGCATTAAGATATTTATGAAGATGTCTCAAAGATTATTGAGAATATCTCAGAAATGATATATTAATCAAGTCTTAAAGAGATTTTAGTTAAAGCTAGTGTCCTAAGATTAACTTAGAAAAGAATCAAATAAAAATATTTCTTATGAATGTGCAATTTGAAGTCTATTATATATTTAAGTCTATACCAAACCAAATATCAATTTTACAATAAGAAATACTAGGTGGATATTAGAGTTACTCATAAATGAAACATTCGAAGGCTACCAATAAAATAATAAAATGTCAGTAAAAGATGAAGTATTATATACTCACATACAAGAGATTATATCAGTTTAAAATGATAAGATTTTCATATACTGATTTTGTAAATTATCTTGATAGTAAGAAATCTATTTTATGATTTATATTTATATTATCTCGAGGGATAATTTTTAAGAATAGTATAATACAAATTATATTATCAAAAATAGAAACTGATATCATAGTATGCTTTGAGGTCACTAATCACTGTAAAATTTTATCTTGCACTTGGTGTAGTTAGATTCGATTACTAAGTTGCTAACAATACTTTATGACATATCACAGTAATGTTTTTCTCTAAAAATAGCAAGTATTTTAGCAAATCTAAGTATTTTATAGTTAGAGAAATAGTTAAACAATGTTAATTGAAAATTTGAATTCTACTATATTGATTGCTAATTCATTTCCTAAGGCCTTACATCCCATGCTTTCATGATTGAGCTCATGAGCAACCTATAAAACATATGGTGATTTATATTTAAATAAATATTATAATTGATATTTTTATTTATATAATTAAGTTATATATATATATATATATATATATATATATATATATATTATGATTGATGTGATGATATGATTATATGGGTTAGTATTGTATTAGAAAATACTAATAATATTATGATATACTGAGAAGAGTTTGACATTAATAACATATAATTGTTATAACTCATATTGCTAATTTGACTTAACGAAGTATTATTGTATTTGTTAGACTTATGACTTATTTTATAAAATCCATGATCATATATAAAATATTTAAAAAAAATATTATGAATGATATCAAAAGATACATAATCATAATATTTGATTATTATTATTATTATTATTATTATTATTATTATTATTATTATTTTTGTAGATTTTCTATGTTCAGGTATAAACTTACCTTGCCATGCTTGCCTCCTATGAGAAGATGCAGAAGGAAAAATAAGGCCCACACCATCGCCAAAACCACCGTATCCTCCCAAGGGAACCTCATCATCCTGCCCTCGGGCGCACCGCCCAGGAGAGCCTCTTCCACGCCGCCATTCGCACCCTCTGCACCTCCATTCCCCTCCCATCCGCAACCATCACTTCGTTCCATCTCTTGGGTCTCAGCGTTCCAGCACCTAAGCCCAGCCTTGCATGTCCTGTAAGTCGAGCATGCAAGGAAGACGGCAAATAGGACGACAATGAGCCACTCCGGGAACATGATGTTACAGATGACCCCCAGGCTGACCCCTGCCAGCATACTGGGTTGCGAGAGGAGCGCAATGTCATAATTGATCAAAGGCTTTTTGGCTGCTTCCGGGCCATGGTTAGTGAGGATGACGTTGTACAGAACATTGGCTAAGGAACCCCCTGTGACCATGAAAGCCGAGTAAGTGGTGGCTACCTTCAGGTCTAGTCCGGCCACCAGATTGAGGATGGGGAGGAACAAAGAACCGCCACTGACCCCTCCTGCACTCGAAACAGAGGCAGCGATGAAGCAGAGAACACACGAGATGATAGTGTGGTAGCCCAGGCTTGCCTCCCTTTGTATGGACTCCTTCCAGCGATCTCTTAGGTTCAGGAGGAGCTCTATGCCGTGGAGCTGAGACGTGGACTCGGTGGCTCCTGCAACGGAGAGGCGGGTTGTGGTGAGGACGGTCAGTGGGAGGAGGAGCAGTACACATTGGAGAAGGAATAGGGAGTCGTTCATGGGGCGGGTCAAGTGGATATAATAACTGCTGTGGGTTACGACAGAGAAGAGTTCCTTCCTCGAGAGGATGAGGAGGCGGCCTGTTTCAACACCACGGATCACATGAATGCCTCATGGTATAATCCTACGTTTGCAGTAGAATTTAAGAACGTCGGCAACTTTTGTGAAGATAAAGCTCATCTCTCTCTCTCTCTCTCTCTTCGCTTTTTTCTGTGTGGCCAAGTCACGCTAGTGTCTCATCCTAGCAGCAACGACGTGAATTCACCGCCAAACCTTGTTGATATTAGAAAAGGGTTGTGTTTGAGTTCCGTTGGCTGTCGAAATGTCAGAATAATGCTTTCTTCTGTTTTCTTTTGTCGATGTCTTTGTTGGGTTGGGAGGGGGGCCATGATTCTTCTTTTTTATTTTGGACGCTTCCGTTGATGGGTGGGAATCGTACTCGGTAAAAGTCGCTAGCTATCTACCACTGATGGACACACCCACTACTCGGTGTCTCGATCACCTTTCCCCCCCCTCCTTCCCCTCTGAAAACGTGAAGCTTTGTTGATTCCATCGAAGGCAGTAGATGCGTGGCCCAGGTTTCGGAGAGGAAACTACACCTCTCGTCAGCCAGCCATGCGAATCCAAATCCATACCCACTCGACTTAACTTGGAAGCTCAAAGTTTGGAAACCTAATCCTGCTCATTTGGATTGACTGAGCCACCTGGCGTTGCTTAATTTTAGTAATCACGCATCCAAGTGGAGGGCGTCTCCCGTGTTTCCATCGGGCCCACACATACAGAGCCTCCCGCCCATTGATCGGGCCTCCGAGCGCACTGATGACAGCTCCTGCACTGAATCAATGTTGATGTACACCAGTTTTACAGAATAGCTAAGACCGCGAATCCAAATAGTGGTCTCATGGAAACGCTTTGCAGGGAAAACAATTGTGGCTTCAGGGTCGAACGGAAATTGGTATACCAAGGAGGAAACTACAGTTCACCGTTGATGTCATGCTGAACCAGTGGTTCAATTTAAACGCATGCAATCCCCGCAGCAAGCCACCCTCTTCAGGTACACATAATTAAGTCGTCTACAGTTGAACCTGTTTGGTCCAGCCTCTTCGCTCCTGCGACTCTGGTACTCTCAACACATGAAGAATGGCATGAGGCAACAATTAAGTGCCTTCCCTATATTATTAGCTAGCAGCTTCAAACTCCTTGGATGCATGCGTGGATGAGTTTTATTTAGCTCTGCTCTTGTTGGCATAAAATTCATATCATGTCTTATCTAATGACTCGAAAGCTTCTAGATGGAATCATACTGATTAATATAACTTAACATCATAATTTTGGAGCGTAAAACGCTGATCACACTTGATAAAACTGGATCGACGCATCCCTTATAGCATGTCATTTCTTCCTCTGAAAATGTAACAAGATGGGCAGTCAATTTAATGTAGCCTATCATGTCTTATCTAATCACTTGATACGCTTCCTATAATTTAGCGAACTACAGTATGTGGGGAGCTGAAGCTTCCACCCTGCCGTACTCGACCTTTTTTATGATAGCCTTCCGATGGAAGAAGGGTAATGAAAGTTGGTTTATTTTCTTGGGGAAAAAAAAAAATCCACATAAATTATTCCTCATGTTGGGAATTACCTCCTGATCTGATGTATTCTGAAATAGGTTCTTCGCTGCATTACGTTATCACGATATCAACCCGCGTGATATCAGCGATCTAGTTTATACGTTTCGAACGATGCAATCTATTGGAAACGATGGCATCCGTTCCTTGGAGCAGTGGTCTCGATGGACTGTCTCTTAGGAAACAGAAGAGGATAAACTTGATTGGTTAGCAAAACCAAATGAGTTGCAAGCAATAAATATTAGGAAAAGTTACACAGTTAAATAGTGATGCCTTGAGCGGCGACTTGCATCGTGCTACAAAAGCCTCAGCAATTGGCTCCGTCGGTCAAGAAAGACGATGATGGGAGAGAGAAAGGGCTTGCAACTTCAGCATGCACAGACACGCATCCCGCTCGAGTTCGCCATCTCCGTCCGTGCGATAAGGAAGCGATCATGTTGGAAAACAAGAGAACAATTCGGTGGCAAGTTCACTTACCACCCAAGAGACGGAGATCCGAGAGTGGCAGGCATCGTCCAGGTTGGTTCAATGTACAAGAGAACAATTGTAGGTTCCTTCTCGGCCATAGTTCAAATGATGGTATTAAGACCCCCTGACATTTCCCTTTATTCCTTTCGTACACAAACTCATGAAAACAATAAATGCATCATTCATTCATGATCCAGAATCGTATCGACGGATCCCCAAAATCTTTCCTAGACGAGGAAAAAGGAGGCATGCAGGACTCTGACTATTACACTTGCTTGGCTTCCTACATCAGCTTGCAAGTCTCTGAGCGCATCGAACAAATTTTGCCCTTCCTCATGCTCGATTCCTTGCGGTCATTGCAGTGATAGTTTCGCCAGGTCCATCCCCGTTAAGCTCTGATGTTACAAGCTCTGATCAACTTGTCCGACAAATTCAGGTACTTGGCCCACAGAGGTCTGATTTCTGGGAATGCTATGTCCAACCAAGGCTTAGCTCTGCCGTTGAAATGAATCACAGCTGCTTTCTCTGCATCCTCCACCGTAGTATTTTCTTGGTAGCCAAGACCCAACATGTGCCAGTAAGGATCAATGACATGGACATGACCATGGAAGGCTATTAAGCCTGGAGGTAGAGTCCCCAACTGCCAAAGACTCAAATCTGATTCCAAGTTCTATGCGGGATGAAGAGGAAGAGAAAACAGGGTAAGGGATGAGGCCAAGACAGGAAATAACAAAAAATTAACTCACAGCAGCAACTGCTGGATGCTTTGACAACTTGTAAACGTACCTTCTGTAGCCAGTGGTAATAAGTGACACTGATGTTGGTCTTCCTCCACGCCTCTAGATCGAAGACATTCATGCCATATGCCCAAGCACACTCATCCGGTTGGAAATTTTTAGATATTAGCGGATGAGAGAAGTTCAAATAGTGCTTCAATCTCTTTGACATCACAAATTTATCCGCGCCCCTGCATGTCTCCACCGCGCCATTTACTTTGCCTTGTAGATCAATGTCCCATAATGGCGAAAGATCGGCTTGGACGACGACGTCATCATCGAGAAACACGACCTTGTTAAGGCTAGGAAACAACTGCAGTATGCCGGGAATGCCAATCGTCAAAGGTTGTTCCATCTCGGGCAGCATGAGAAGCATGTAATATAATATGTAATGACAACTCATCTCAAACTCAAAACTCTGCTAAAGCTCACCTCAGGCAGATGGATTCTTATATGGTTCATGACACAGTGATACTTGGGGCTCAAAGCCTGCAGCTTGGCCGCCACGATGATGGGCTTCTCGCTAACGTTTGCGACGATCGCCGAGGATCCTCCCCGGAAGTGCGACCGAGCAGCCCGGTCCTTCTCCATGGCTTCCATCACCGGGACCCTCCCCCTAGTGAACCAGTCGAAGTGGTGCAGCGCCTTCACCTCCACGACCGCCGGGGCCAGCGGGTGCAGCGAGAACCAGGCCTGCATGGGCGCGTATGTCTTGCGGTCCGTGATCACGTGCAGCACCACCGAGCCCGGGAGGAGGGCGTTGGCCACGAGGGAGGCGGCCACCACCGCGGCGGCGAGCACGTTGTCGGAGGCTAGGACGAAGTGGTACAGCTCGGGGTCCACCAGGGCAGGGACCCGCTCCGGGGCCGGCAGCTGGTGACGGGCCCCGACGTTGGTGGAGTGCTCCTGGGCCAGCCGGAGGGCCAGGCAATGGAGCGGCTTGGGGATGCTGCTGGACGCCACGTGGCGGTACAGGTACTCCTGAATCTTGGCCACCCTCGTCTTCTGGTCCAGCAGCGAGACCTGCAGGCAACGGTCAACGGTGACGGTCAACACTCCAAGTCCCAAACATTGCTCTTGGGCAAGCGGCACCCACCATTGCTCTGAGCCGCAAGGCAAACGTTTTGGCATCGGTTCTGTCGCTCTTCATCTCTTCAATGAATTCCTCCAACGTCTGCGGTACATCCGACCCAGCCGTCGGTTCGTCCGGCTCGGCTCCTTCCAACACCCGATAAATCTCCTCTGGAACAGTCTGCGAGACCATGTGGTTGTCAATTTTTTGTTTTTACGAGCAGTCAGGTTCTTTGTCTATTCATTTGTTTAGTGTCGGATGCTTGAAATTAAAGCTAAGTTCGTTTCAAGGCAACCGAAGCGTACCACTGAGGCTGAGTCCGGCCGCCTCCACATTCTTGGACCCAATCTCTTGCCTATGCATCCTGAGACAGCCAACAATCAGAGTACATGGAGGACAAGTATTCTAAGGGAGATAGATAACACGAGAAAAAATTAGCTTCTTTTTGTTTTATTTTCTCTTCTTCTTTTTGCATAGGTGGAAAGAAGAAGGCTAAAGTAAATCCGGAATCCGGGCGACACTTGAAACAACAGTTCATCATTCGCTTTATACCACCGCATCGATTTATAACTCCAAAGATAACGAACCAGCCTTTTCAGCTGCCGTGTCCTCTTCACCCCCCACCGTGATCCACAGGGGAAACGAGGAGCCTAATCTAATCACGGTACTTGCCTTTTTTTTTTTTTTTGCCTTGGTTCTTCTTTTGGTCGAACGGACGTCTTTTAGATTGGATTCATGCTACAGATTCAGCTTATGACAGGGCAGCTACCTTGTTCAGTAAATCGTGATCTTTAGTTGGTGGTGTGATGAATCACAGGTCCCCATCTGCCGCCTCTCCAACTGCTCTGAAAGTTAGACATGAACAAATTGATTTTTTTTTTACTGCCTTAGATTAGCACACGTTCTAACTTTTTAGGAATATAAGCTAAACATGTTCATTATATTCCTACGGATTAATTTGCTGGAGTATGTAGATCATTACACCAACCAACATTTCAACTCTCCAAGTTTCTAGCTCTTTACTCCATCGAGTTATCTAACTTTGTTCGGTAATATTGTTTAACTGATCTTATAATATATCTTATTCCTTTTCCTTTTTCTGTTTTCTCATTTCACCAACTGTATATGGTAAAGAACTAAATAAATAGCTGAGAACATCATCTTTAGGTCATTCATCTAGCAATGCGCAATGCAATTGGCTGTTGCATTTTGCAAGTCCTCACTGAACAAACGTAGGTCAGTGTCTTCTGAATCCGATCGATAGAAAAGCAGTTGTCAAAAAGCACTAATACAGCATTTCCACATCTCTCTCTCTCTCTCTCTATGTATATATATATATATATATATATATATATATATATATATATATATATATAGTGGTCACGATGACGGCATTCGTTGTTTCCTATGCGCCTCGCACATAACCAAGTCACTGGCACCGACGATATGCACAGCCAATTATATGGCATAATGATGACAGTATATAACAAAAGTATAATAATAGGAACTTCAAGATGAAAGGTTTGAGGACTTATCTAAACAATGACAAGAGCCAATTATAGAGCATAATGACGACAAGTATATGACACAAGTATAATAATAGGAACTTCAATGAAGATGAAAGGTTTGAGGGCTTATCTAGCCAATGACAAGAAACTTTTACGACTCACTAGAGCGTCATTACGAAAGGACCAATACGTGATATATATATCCAGCCATGTCCAAAAATAAAAAATATAAAAACACTACATTACTTACCATCTCATTGTAATACGTAAGGCAGAGAATTAAGAAAGAAGAGATGAGAGGAGCATCATCAGCAAGATCAATGACGCTACCTAAAGAAGAGCACTGGGTCTCTCCCTCGATGGTATCCATTGCCGTCAATACAAAGATGAACCTGAGCAAGAACGTCATGAAGAGAAGGGAGTAGATGACCATCTTGTATGAAAGCCTCCGGGATGTAACCTTAAATTTGATGAATTCCCTCACCCCCTTCCCCGGGAACACTGTGACGTGCCTCATGCTGGGCGATATGTGGAGCTGCATAGTAACTCCAAAATAAAATGAAATCTGGTACCGATCGGTCGATCACCAAATGCTGGGCTGGTTCCTCTCGGGACAACCAGGAGTCGTATCGAGAGAGCACGGTAGAAGAAGAGACGTTCCCCGGGACTGTAATAGGAGACCAGACCAGACCAGTTCTGGTGTCAAGGTTGCTATCGACCACCTACCATCGCTTAGCATTTGGGTTATTGATCCTCCTGCCTTTGTAGTGTGCAAAGAACCCGTAATGGGGGAGTTGTTGGAGAAAGGGACGGAGGTTGAGGGCGCGAGCGGCCATGAAGAGTGGTGGTTTGGTGGGGTTGTTTTACGTATGAAACTTGTTGCTATTCTCTGATGACCAAATTATTAGTTTATTTATTTAATTTACTTGCTTTCCAAGCATAGGAGGCAGAATAGATGAGAAGCTGCTGTCCATGTTTTGATAATGTGTCATTCTTGCTTCCTTTTAACTTCAAATAAAGGAGGGGAAATTAAGTAACCAAAGCCCGATCCTTGAGAACAGACGGGGACCGTCCAACCATAGTTTTTTTCTTTCTTTCTTTATTTTTCCTTCGACAACCCCACTCTGGTTTGACTTCAATTTAATCAGCGCAATCCCCCCAGGTGAATTGTTGTCGTAAATGCCAAAATATAGTAGCTAGCGATTAGAGATTTAATGGATATATCCCTCCCGAGTGACAGACAAGACAGATGAGTGGGGAACCGCTAAACTACACTGTTCAAAAACAAACTAAACTTGATCAAAAATATCAAGTTCCTTCCAAGTGTGAAAGTCTTTGACCGGACATCTTTACGTCTCTCTTCTTCCCCTGTATCCACAAAAAGGTAAAAAAGGGAAGATTTCCCCCACAGACTGACATTTCCTTGAAAGATTAGATCATCGTGTGACAGACCGCAATTGCCTGAAATGTGGTCAAGAGACCAGCCAAACTGCAAACACAAAGTTGCAACAGCTTAGGATAAGGGCCAGCAGCTGCTTGGATTCATCCCACTTAGCAACTTAGCCATCTTCGTTTTGTCTTGTCTCAATATAATTCGGAATTGCCAGTTTCTTGCTAACTTGTTGACCCACTAAATTCATAAACAAAATAATAATAATAATTATACTTCAAGCCTGCATGACCAGTTTCATGGTCATGCAGGCTTGAAAGTATAATTATTAGTAACAAAACAAACAAGCGCAAACGTACGCTTCGAAAAGCAAGACGGAAACCGAGGGCATCGGCAGCACTGATGAGCCGAGCCCGACGCCTCTATGACTCGACCTTGGTCTCGTTACAAACAACACTGGGATCGAGGACAGGCCGAGTGCACTCATCTAGGTCAGGTCAAACTGCCGAAAGCTACCCCTTATCAAGAATACGTATATATGTAAGTAGCGCGAGATCGAGGAAGTCAATATGACACTGATTCGTTGGGCATGCACTATGGACCACTATGTTCCATGCGAAAGGAGATGCGATCGGGTGTATCGACTATCGGGGAACATGCATGCAAGGAGCCCATTAAACATATATATTTATCTTCTGTTTACTATGGTAGTCAGTCTTGTATCAAAGAAGCTAAAGATAACCATGCAACGGTACAAGTCTGCATTGGAGGCATAACAGAGCTTTGGTATGTATTATGGATTGCTTCACTTGGTAAAAATGACCTCATCTCAAAGCTTCGCGTTGGAGCCGCTCATCGCTTTCACCAGAGCAGGCGGATGGATGCTGACCGAGTCTTGCGACGCACGCTTCGTGTGTCGTGGTGTCCACAACCGTCAATAATTTTCTGTTACTTTGTCAATTCTGGAAAGCCCGCAAAAAAGTTGCAATCATCTTCGTGATTGAGATTCCACATGATTTGTCCATTCGAGTTGGGTCGGAGTTTGTCGCGGTGTTCGGTTGAGCCACCCACCTCCCGAAGAATCATATCCCACCCCCACGCACTTTTTTTATTTTCCTGGACCCGATCCCGATTTAATGCTATTATGACGTTTGAATTTCTAAATATACGTCAATCGTGAAATCGAACATGTCACTTCGACATGCATGATCCTTTATCGGCCTACACACATTTGTATTGATTCGACAGTAACTACATTTGTATTTGTATTGATTCGATAATTCCATCCTCATCGGCCTCTGGTTGTGATGGAGTCTATAGATCGAAAACATAATATTTCATAATTATTTTATCCATTTCTTAATCACACGTCATGATTTTATCGAAAATACAATAATAAATAATAATAATAATGATGAAAAAAAAGGAAAAGACTCGAGTGAGACGGGATTCTAATAAGGTTGCAAGCAATTCCTCGATAATTTCTTGTTCGTTTTATGCCTAGTCACGAAGACGGTGTTAGTATAAAATTTCTTATATGTTATATATAATATAAAAATAATTTTTTATCTTAAAATTGAAATTAAATAATATTAGATATGATACTTACCTTTTGATGTCATCTGAAAATGATCGATCATTTTTAATTTATAAAATAAAAGTTAGACTCTTCTTCTCCTCTTTTTCTTATTTGTAATCTCTCAACTGCATCCTTTGTAAGATAATTAATATACCTTAAGATAGCGCAGCCAAAAAAAGAAGGGGCTTGGGCTGTTTTTAGTCGCCAAAGCAAGTCCGAAGAAATAGCCCTGGGTCATGATATCCAAGACATTGCAAGTTCTGTGAGGACCCAAAGTTGTAATTTTGTTTCCTTTTTTCCCCCTTCGTCTTTTGGGGGCTCTCGGTGGATCTTGGGAGTTGGGACTGAGGGACGAGGAACAATGTGCATATGCATCAGGAGGATGGTGGGTCGAAGAACGGCCGGAGCGGCGGCAACGGGTTCTTCTCGGTCCGTTCGTGTCGAACTGCGCGAGGATTGTGTCCTCCGGCGCGTCCAACGTCGCGTCTACCGTGCGTTAGGCAGGGGTGTTCTCAGTCTCCGATCGCCGTGATGATGCAGGCCGCGATGAGGTACTTGTTGGGCGCATCTCGTTTTAATAATTCGAGCTTGTAATTTGCTTTTGTTCGGATGGGGAATTAGTTGATTGTGGGATTCTTTGAACGCATGGAACACCGCTAGTTAATTATTAAATACCAGAAAAAAGGGAGTAATTTGATTGCATGCTTTCCTCTGCTATGCAAAATTGTCGGAGCAGAAAGTAATATGGTAACTTGCCGGACCTATTTTCTGGCTTACATAAGTTTCCTATTGCATCCTTGTGAAGTCAACTGCTTGTTTTATTTCGGTGGTGCGAAAGATACCTCGCTTCGGAATCAAATATCTTTTCCATTGTTTGGTATTTCAGCTGAATTTTCCAGCATTTAAGTTTCCTCTTGGCACACACTCTCTCTCTCTAGTGCTTTTTATAGTGAAGTCTAAAGAGAACACCCCTTGGTCGCATGTGCATGAAGTAGGAATACATGAACGCCATTATTTCTGGTGCCTTTCGGAAATGCTTTATCAGTCTGCCAAAGAAAAAAGATGATCACATGCATATGTAAGCCATCTAGTCTCGTTTACAGTGGGTATTAGCTTGCATGTGATATTGAGTTTATGTTAATCTTCCATATCATCAGTTGTGATTTCTTTTTTTTTTACAAAAGTGAGTGTATAATTATGATCAGCAACAGAAATTCCAGATGACATCTATTTTCATCTTGAAAATATGGAATTTTGTCATCCTTCAATCGATTCTCATGATTTTTGTTTGTCATTGTGTGTGGTTTTGGTTATGTATAGTCTTGGTAGCACTAATTGGTTTTACTTTTCTGGGAATGTGCATCTTCATACAGCATGCTTGTACTGTGTAAAATTTCATCTGAATGCAATTGAGATTAAGCAGTTTGTGTGAGCAACATGATCTGCTAAATTTCTTCAACATAAAAATAAGATTTTCTTTCAACAAAGCAAAATAATATTACTTATTGAAGATAGCTAGAAATATATTAAGAGCAATGAATTAGGTCAATCATGTGCACTAGGGTAATTCCAGGATGAGCTAGTCAACGCAAACTTGAATATATCTACTTGAAGTATATTACTTGTGGTTCTAAATCTTTCATAAAAAACAGTAGAAACTTATACTATTTGGCACATAATGATTAATTTTGATGTTTCTTGCTGTAATTCTATTTTGGAAGACCTTGATGTTGTGGTCAGATTAAATTCAAGATCACTTAAAACTGGTTCAAATGGAGAACTCCTGAAGATCTCAGATATTTGCATATTCTTCTTAGAATGAATTTGTACTGTGCAGTAGTTTCTTTTCTTTTCTTTTCTTTTTTTTACTTGCAACACTTAATTTGTCAAAGGTAGATGGAACTGCTATACATAGTTTCCAATCCACAATTTCTATTAAAATAATATTTACTTCCTGACCATAAACCCATGAAAATATAAGTAGAAACGATCTGCAAATTGTGAAGCAAAACTTTTGAGAAATTAATGAAGATGTGAGATGCTACAAAAAATTTAAAAAAACTTTTTTTTTTTGTAGTATAAGATCAAACATATTCTTATTAGTATCAGGGCCTACTAAGTCCCTCCACAATTGATACCTTATCCTTTTCTCTTATTGGTATCAGCTCTTTTAGGATTCATTATAATTCACAAGTATTCTCAAGTCTCTGACATATAGTTGCCCCTTGATTATAGACAACTTGAACATCCTTCAGGTATCATGCTCTATTGTGCATGATTGAAGCACCAGTGATAAGCTGGCAATTCAATATTTGACAATGATGGCACCGTAGATTCATTACACATCGATTCATAGCACCATGAGACATCTCATACCTTGAGGCATCAATGTGCTACTATGAGACAATAACTTCTATTTCATCAATCATGAAACCAGCTGCTATATATCATCATATGGATATGTATATAGAAGAAACCAACTACTTTCATCATATAGACATATATATATAGAACACCGGTTTCTCCAGTTAACTCGATGTCCTCTCAAGTAATCTATGATCAAGAATATTTAGCGATATGTGTTTATTGAGGAATTGGTTTTATTATCATGATCTCATCATGATCTAATTCTCATTTCATAGATCCAATGACATTACAATATATATTCATCACATAATATAAAATAAAAAATATCATAATAAATATTAACCAAAAGAGATCGTGCAGCGTATCACACGTGTCATCAC